TTGTTAGAAATGTTATTTCTATTCTTTCAGCTGTCGCAAATTATTCAGGAAAAATTAATTCATAGTATTAACCAAAACACATAAACAAAACCACTGTGGACTGGTGAGGTGGTTGTGGGCAAAGGTACCAGCTGCCAGATCTGATGACCCTTGGGACCCACATGGTGGAAGAAAATGGACTCATTCAAGTTACCTCTTGACCTCCACACATATGCCATGGCTTAGGTGACACTCCCATAAATAAATAATAATGTTTCTTAAAAATTACACTCAGGCTAAAATAAGCCCAACTCCAACTTAATCTAATACAGTCTATGTAATATGCACTCAACAGACACAAATGATATCAATTTGCATATCCATAAACAAAAGCCTAACACAAACTTATAAAAGCAAAAAAGCATAAACTATACCTTACTTTGGGCATTTCCATCTAAATTTCATGATTAACAGCTCTGTAACAGTGCATGCTCAGGACAGCAAATATAAACATGTCTCAGAACTGGGATGCAGCCAAGAGGATGCTGATGAAACCAGGGGCCAGATGCACTTCCCCGTGTCCTGCTGGTCAGAGGAGGTGTGCAGGCACCCTAGAAAGGCCACTACCAAGAGACTGGAGTTCGCAGAGTAGGAATTGCTTCTGCGTCTCTGCAACTGCTTTGTGTTGCAGGTTCCTATGATTTTTTTTTTTTTTTAAATCCTGTGCTTGTTAAGAAAAAGCAAAGTTTTAAAGTACTGAAGACATGACAACGGAATCAACATATTTAGAGGCAACTGTGTAGCATGAACAGTAACTTGGCAGAATGAGAATGCTGTTGAAATCATTGTCCTGATTGCACCTGCCAACTCTGCCCCGCAGTAGTGAAGGCTCCTTCAGCCTTAGAGTAGCTACTTTACCATCAAACTGACTTTCTTTACTGTGACTGTGAGAACTGACAAACGGAAATGAAAACACAGTCATCTCTAGGTATCCTAACCTATTAATTTTGTAACTCCATCTTACAGTTTCTCTCTTTCATGCCATAATAATGTTAGGATGTTACCTTAGCAGAGAATTCTTTTATTTCAGTTGAGTTCAGCAAATTTTCATACATCAAAAATTTTACTCAGCTAAATTTGGCTGGGTGAGGTAGTGCATGTCTGTAATCCAAACGCTCAGGAGGCTGACACGGGAGAATCATGAGTTACAGGCTAGCCTGTGTCACACTAAGAATGCTTCCAAAAAAAGACCAGAGCTAATATGATGAAAGTTCCCTGTCTGTTAGGAAAAGCAGAAACAAGCCAGGCGGTGGTGGTGCACGCCTTTAATCCCAGCACTCGGGAGGCAGAGCCAGGCGGATCTCTGTGAGTTCGAGGCCAGCCTGGGCTACCAAGTGAGTTCCAGGAAAAGTGCAAAGCTACACAGAGAAACCCTGTCTGGGGGGGGGGGGGGAGGAAAAGGAAAAGCAGAAACATAAACCAGTAACGCTACATAAAATCCTTCATCTAAAGATCATCTTGACTAAAGTCTACCTTCTGACAGCCTCAAAAGAGCAAAACTAAGAATTCACCTATTCTTTGAGGAAATGATGATTCCACTGAGCCTTCGATGGTACGATATACAGTCCACTTATGTAGACCAATTTAGAAGCTTGCTGCAATCAGCAGTAGATGCTTGTTTGGAGTGGAAAATAACTAAAAACTGCTTTGGAAATGTCCAACAACCTATCTGATGAGCCACGAAAGTAAAACACAAGCCTCAGTTAGAGTCAAAGGTTCCACGGAGTCACATTACCATTTCCCACTTCTATTAAAGTGAACACAAATTTTGGGATCAATACTTCTTTGGCAGAATTATGGCTTTGGTACTATGTCTTCTAGAAAAAGCACCTGTGTGCTCACTGTCCCTTTCACGAGCTGCCAGAAATAACCTTCCCTTACTGCCCTTACTTTTCCAGAGCGCTACAGAAGAAATACCATTCATGCAAAAAAATCTGCAAAATAGCAGAACACTGGTCCTGAAAAAGCTGTCAAAATTACCTCTCAAAAATTTTTTTTTTACAAGGGAACCCCAATCCTGGAGTTACCAATGGGAAGATCTTGTAGGTTCCTGGACTGTTGGTGTATGCCCTCTTAACCCAGGAATTTCCACGGACCATATTCCCACCCTGTGGCCAATATGCAGAGCAACTCAGGCTGTACACAGGTGTTAATAATTCTCACTGAATTATCTGTAAAATCCAAGCGTCCAAAAACCTCTCGCAGGTTTAATTTTTAAAACTGAAAGGTAACATTTTAAACCCTTTCTTAAGGTTTAAACTTGCCCGACGTCTAAACCTTAAGAACGAAGCACAAAGAAAAAGAATAAACCACTCGCGTCAGAAGAAATCTGAGTGACATCTTTATTTTCAGAAATCACTACCCTCTTCAAACATCACTTCCTCTCCATTCGCCTCCCCCAGTCCCTGGATGCGAATCAGTGATGCATCCCCCGCTCCTCACACTCCAGATTCTTAAAAGGATCACAAACAAAAAAGCTCTATAGCCCACATCCACTACCCAGAGATCTTTTGACGCTTTGAAAGGCACTTACCTGTAAGAAAGCCAAGGCCCTAAATTAGATCCCCCAAGGGCTCCTTTTTCTTCCTGGACTTTTTCTCTCTAACCTTTAGGCCAAGAGACTTTCCATCCGACCCCTCCCTCTTTCCAGTCAACCTTAACTCCGGCCCTTCAAAGCCACCATTCCCACCAGGTCAGGTGGCTGGCTGTCAGTCCCCACCCGACTGCCTTGCCCTCGCGCCGGTTTCAGGCGGCCCGGGGCCAGCTCTTCCCATCTCTCCTCTCCACGGCCACAGCTCCGGGCACCTCTCCCTCCGGGTCCGGATTCCGGGGACCCCCTCACATTGTCCCTCCTTCTCCAGCTGGGCTGGCAAGGGCCCAGCCCCTGCGCCTCGCCCCTCGCTGCCCGCAGGTCAGCTCAACCCCGATTTCCTCCGGATTCCATTCCAGAGCGGCCTCCCCCGGCTCCCCCAACCGTCTCCCCGCGGCCCGTAGAGCCCCCGGCTCTCCACTCACCCTTGGCTGCAGGTGCCCCCCAATCTCCCCTCTCCTCAGCCTCGGAGCCCGCTCACCTCCGCGGTGGGAGCCGAGCTGCCCGGACCCAGCTCGGAGCCGGGGTCCGGGGCGCCGTCGGAGTCCGGGGTCCTCGGTGCGTCGGCGGAGCGCAGCGCCTCGAGCGGCAGACGCAGAGCCCGGGGAGGGGAGCCGGAGCGCAGGCGGGAGCCAGCTCGACTACGCGCGGGCATCGCTCCGGCCCCGTCGGCGCCGCGCCGCCAGCCGCGGCCAGCCGAACCGGAACTGCTTCGGGGGGCGGGGCGCTATCGGAGAGGGGGCGGGGCCAAAACCGGAAGGAAGCGGGGGGGGGGAAACCCAGGAGGGAGTGAGAGCGCATGCGTCAGGTCCAAGCATAGGCAGCCAAGGATGGAACAGTTCCTATGGGGTTGCCGACTGAGGTAGGGGTCTAGGAAGAGGCTATTCTGAGACCTTTGGAGGGCCTAGCTAGCTCCTCTTCAGCCAATCCCCAAGTAACCCCATTTATTGCTTCTTTATTCTGACTGTGTCTGTGCTAGAGACTATAATGCCAATCGTTGTTTCAACTCTGAAAAGTAGATCTCACACACACAGAAGGGCCAAGAAACAATGTAGCCTGACAGAGCACAGTGAATATGTATTCAAGCTGGTATTCCACCGCCAGACTGTCATCGGAACCTGTGTTCTTCGCTGCCACGACTATACCCGGCCCTAACAGAACACCTGCTTCTCCCCCAAGACTAGGACTGGCAGAAACCATGACCAAAGCCATCTGCAGCCTGAATTCTAGGTCCTCTTTGGCTCTACTTTCCTGAACAATGCAGGACCAGTTTTGGTGGTTGTGAAGGGGTTAGGGACAGGCTCTGAGGTGGATAGAACGGCAAACATGGGTGTCTTGGTGAGGCCTTTCCCTTCAAGCTAGACTCTTTTTTTTTTTCAGTTTTGTTTTGTTTTGCCCAGAGCTGAGAACCAAACCCAGGGCCTTGCGATTGCTAGGCAAGCGCTCTACCTCTGAGCTAAATCCCCAACCCCAAGCTAGACTCTTAATAGCAGGGGTAGCCAGGAATCTGCTCAGTGCCCTCATACCCTTCAGGGTCTCCATGAAGCCACACGAGACAGGGCAAGACATCTCATCTCCCCACAGCCCTTGTAGGCAAAGGACTCTTCCATCCTCAAAATGTTTCTGATGGGGGTAGAGATGTAGTTCAGTGATTAGAGCACTTGCTGCTCTTGCAGGAGACCCAGGTTCAATCCCCTGTACCCACATGACACCTCACAACCACCTCGAACTCTAATTCCAGGGGACTCCACACTCTCTTCTGGCCACAGGAAGCACTGAACTCCAATACCAATAAAATATTTTAAGTTGTAAAAATAATCTTTTGCCGGATGCGATGGTACAGTATTCAGGAGGCAGAGGCAGGTGGAGCTCTGTGAGTTAGAGGCCAGCCTGATCTACAGAACAAGTTCCAGGACAGCCAGGGCTATTGCACAGAGAAAGCCTGTCTCAAAACAAACAAACAAACAAATAATCAGCTATCTTCATTACAGCACCATCCATCATTCAGATCCTCCATGAACTTTCTGGGCACACTTCAGACACTTTCCTCCACGTCTCTCTAAGTTCCTCTGGCCGTACAACTCAGACAGTTTTACGAGTGTTCCACACAGTCCAAGGGCTCCAATCAACACACGTCGGGCTGCCATGCATTTTGTAGCACACTTAGACTAAGAGTCATCACCCGGCACTTAGCTCTGCCTTCAGAACCTAACAGTCTATGCAAGGGCTCTAAACCGATGAGTTAAACTATGTCGAAGCCCCAACTGCATGTTAGACACAGTGGACCTTTTGTTTTGTTTAACCCTTGAAACAATTCTCCAGGGCAGGTGTCTCCTTAACTTTACAGAAGACACCGATGGAGGCGGAGAGTGACTTACAGGGTCTAATTCCGGGTTCTCGGAGACTTTAGGGATGGGAGCTGGCCCCAGAGAAATCGGACGCCTTGCCCTCGTTGGAGGCCCCTGGGACTTGCTGAATCACTTCATCCCACCTGTCGCTGCCAGTCTTTGGGAAGGAGGAACACAGGGGGGCAGAGAAGAGTGAGCTGACGACGGCAGAGGCAGAGGGGTCGGCAGGCTGGCCCATGGCTGAGGCCTCCACCCCAAAACTGGGGGAAGAAGCAGAAGCCACACCTTGCCCCAGTGTCCTGCAGCTGGAAGAGCTCCTGAGGGCCGGGAGAGCCTCTTGTAGCCGCGTAGACGAAGTCTGGCCCAACCTTTTCATAGGAGATGCGTGAGTGGCTGCTGACAGGGTCCTAGGAGTATGTCAAGGAGAAACAATCCTTGAACTCTTTCCCAGAGGAGGTGGCAGAGAGGGAACAAGGAGAACTAGTTGCTGCTAGCCAGCCCCAAGGCCAGGAGTTTTCTCCGGACTCCTAAACGCCAGGAGCGATTCGATGACCAGATTCTAACAGCAGGGGGAGCTTGAGTGTTTTGGTTTTGTTTCTTGGGAAAGTCTGAGGGAGTTCCTGACGGGAAGATCCCTGGGGTCTTCAGGCACATCTTAGACAACTGGCCAGTCTGGGAAGCAATAACGTTTGAAATATGAAATGGTGTAGACACAGAGCATAGGCTCTGGGCCCAGCTTGCCTCCTGTGGACACTGAGTGGGTGGAGAAGCCTGGCCTAGGATGAATCAAGAAAGGTGTCACTTCTAAATACTTGTAGATTAGTAGCAGGTATGACGTGGTGACCAAGTGACTCTAGATGATGAATATGAATGAGTAAGAAGACAGGTGGCAATAAGGGAGGAGCAGCTAGTCGTCAGGGCTGAAGCAATCGCTTCCTGCCTGTGGTGGGGGCAGGCTGCCTGAGACAGCAAAAGGGATTTAAACATACCCCCTCACACCACCATCTCTACCAAGAGAAAGCCCTGGGGCTGAGACAAAAAGCTGCAGACCCAGCTCACTATAGATGAGTTCTAGCTCCCTTTCTACCCTTATAGCTTTACCCTCCCCAAATCAGGCATCAAACAAAGCTTCCTTCCTGACCCAGAGGCTCAGCCCGCATCCAGCCCCCTTTCTGCCCTTCCCAGGGCCACGGCAAATAACCGCTTTGAGCTGTGGAAGCTGGGAATTACCCATGTGCTGAATGCCGCCCACGGGGGACTCTACTGTCAGGGAGGCCCTGACTACTACGGCAGCGGTGTGAGCTACCTGGGGGTACCAGCCCACGACCTCCCTGATTTCAACATCAGCACCTACTTCTCCTCAGCAGCTGACTTCATCCACTGTGCCCTCAACACACCTGGGGGTAGGACTTGGGGCCCAGTCCATTTTCCATTCTGCTCACTTGTGGGGAGGAGATCCAATTCCCCCTCGATCCTCAGCATCCTCCCATCCCTAGTTTTTTGTCTTGTTCCCCCCTCCCCTCCTTCCCCCGGAGCTGAGGACCGAACCCAGGGCCTTACACTTGCTAGGCAAGCGCTCTACCACTGAGCTAAATCCCCAACCCTTTGTTGTTTTAACAATATTCTGCTCTAGGCCTTAGCATCTTATCTAATGGCATTGCTTGACAGATGGAGAAAGTTAGCCAGGCGGTGGTGGTGCACACCTTTAAGCCCAGCGCTTGGGAGGCAGGTGGATCTCTGAGAGTTCAAGGACAGCCAGGGCAACACAGAGAAACCCTGTCTGGAAAAAACAAAAATAAACAAACACAGATGGAGAAAGTGAGGCCAAATAGCAAAGCTGTAATGAATTAGGAGCAGCCACATTTCTGGTTTTTTGTTTGTTTGTTTGTTTGTTTAGCAGAGTTCTGGAGACTTTTTGTTTTGTATCAAGGAAGAATGTCCTTTTATGGATCTGGTTCTAGATGTGGGTCTGACAGCACCCTCATAGGACCATCCCTTTCCTTGGGTTTGCACACAAAACACAAGCAGGCCACGGAGAACAGCAAAGGACTGTAGCAGTCAGGGTGACAGATGTGGCAGCCAGAAATGAAGTGGCCCGGCACAGCTGGGGACGACCTGCCGCCTGACTCGGCATTCCTGGCAGGCGCTTTCTCCACAGTTCTTACTCCACAACAGGCAGCCCTGGGAGAGTGCTACATGGTACCCAGAATTCTGCCCCAAGGTACCCCCAGATGAACAAAACAAAACACCCAGGGGACCACAGGCCTTGAGAGACTGGAGCCCTTACTATGTGTTCATCTTGGGAAACAACCATGCCCCTTTGCTCGGTGACCCAGGGCAAGTCAGGCTCTGGGTTTCCATTTCCTCATTTTTTTGTGTGTGATGAGGGACCTGGTAAGGTTCATGGTGCTTTGTAATAGCCAGAGCACTTTGACGACCTTTTTTTCCTCATCTGCTCATCCACCACCACCTAGTCATCATTTAGCCTGTGTCAGGGAAAGAACGAAACTCTGGGAAGCCAGACTTAAGTCAGCCAAGGCTCCTGCTCTTGGAGAACCTGCTAATCAAACAGGGATGTCCTCTGAGCGTTGCTGATAAGAGAGTGATACAAACATCCAATCCAGAGGACTGTGGTGATTTCCTGACTACGGTAGTTTCTCTAGGTCACACGCAGAAAGGACAAAGTACCTGGTGATTCAAGGGATACCTTGAGTGGTGAGGAAAGCTGATGGAGGAAGCCACGTCTGAGATGTGACTTGATGGATGAGTAAAGGCTAGTCAGACCAAGGTCAGAGGAAAGGTCAGAGGCCATGACAGCTCCAAGCAGAACTCAAAGTCTGCCTGTGTTCGTAGAGCTGAGTTTTGAAATGGGTTCTGATTGAGGTGAGGTGCATGGTCAGGATGGCTGGTTCTCAGGGGCTTTTGTTCTGTTTTGTTTTGTTTTATTTCCCCAAGACAGTCCTGGAACTAGCTCTATAGAGCAGGCTGGCTTCGAACTCAGAGATCGGCCTGCCTCTGCCTTCTAAGTGCAGGGATTAAAGGTGTGCGCCACCACCACCACCACCACCACCACCTGGCCTCAAAGGCTTTGTAAGTCATGTTGAGGGTTTGGACTGTAGTTCTAGACAGATGTCAGTCTACTCATTTGAAAGATCAGGAAACCGAGGCCCATCAAGGCTGAGGGACTTACACAGGGTCCCCATAACACACCCAGCACAGGTCGGGGAATGGGATTTGGGTTTGGGCCCTACCCCTTGGGTGGGCTGGCTGTGGAGAAGGCGTCCATCCCCTGCACGTCTTCTTCAGCTAAGGTGCTAGTGCACTGCGTGGTAGGCGTGAGCCGCTCTGCCACACTGGTCCTGGCCTACCTCATGCTGCACCAGCAGCTGTCCCTGAAGCAGGCGGTCCTCGTGGTGAAGGAGCGCCGATGGATCTTCCCCAATCGCGGCTTCCTCCGCCAGCTCTGCCAGCTGGACCAGCAACTGCGGGGGGCAGGCCAGAGCTAAGGAGCCAGGTAAGGAAGGGCAGGGCGCAACCTGAGTGCTGAGTGCAGCTGGCAGTGAGAAATCACCTGAGAGCCTGGAGAGGGAGCCTGAGGTGAAGCTGGTTGGCAGGGCTGCCTGTGGCTGGCAGTGAGGACTCACACACTCTCTTTCTCGAGCTGCTGGGTTCCCCTTGCCTATCCAGGGCCTGGCGGGCCATCCTCCCATCTGGATTCTTTAGCTCTCCAGAGAACAGAGAAAGGTGGGAGATGGCTGGCTCAGGGGGCAAAAGCACTTGCCACACATGCGCGAGGACCTGAGTTGGAGTCTCCAGAACCTACCTGAGGCTGAACCTAGTCGTGTGTGGTGAGATAGGAGACAGAGACAAGAATCCCCGGGAGTTACTGGGCCTGGCATATGAAACAAACAAACAAACAAACAAACAAACAAAAAACCCAAGACACCCTATTTCAAATAAGGTAGATGGCAAGGAATCAATGATTGAATGAATGTATCCTCTGACTTCCACACACACTGTGATACTCAAATATTCAAACAAAGTGGAGAGAGAGAGAGAGAGAGAGAGAGAGAGAGAGAGAGAGAGAGAGAGAGAGAGAAAGATGAAGAAGGAAAGTCTAGGCTTAGATGCCTTATGTGCAGTAGGTAAGGCCTTCCTACCTGCTTTTGGGTGCTGCCCAGCCTCTCCTAAGAGCCTGTAGGACTTAGCAAATTCCCAGCAGAGCCAGCCTGGGCCATCACACACTTCCTCTGAAATGCACTGGTGTTAGTAACTAAGACATGTGTTCCCTGTGTAGACGGCAAGTTCACTGCCTACTCTTGCCCCTCTAGCCAGGAAGGAGAAACATGGCAGAGCCGCAAATTTTGCATCATGCCCAGTTGCTTCACTTCCTTAGCCTGGAGTCTCAGACACCCTGGCCGCTGACCTCAACATCTTGCCCATCAGACAGCTGGTCTGGGGGAAGTTGGCTGAGCAGGGCTGCACCATTGCCCAATGTGTGGACATGACATCTACAAAAGTGTCTGTGCCGTGAGAGCCTCCAGAGATTTGCAGTACGCCGGCTGTGCAAGGGTACCCAGCAACCCCAGGGCTGAAGTCCTGAGGGGAGAGGGCCGTGCAGAGAGGCCATCTCTCTCCATTAGCCTGCCCTCATCCTCTCTCCTGGTACCTACCCTCCAACTGGTCTTGCACACAGAACTCAGGGGTGAAGACATGTCCCAGCCAGCCTGGGCCTTTGTTTACCTGTAACGTGAAGGTTCTCTCTCCTCCAGAGCCAGTCCTTACTCTCGGCCACCAGGCTCTTCCAGCTTGCTACTCTGGCCCTGGCCCTGATGGCGACCTTAGCCCAAGTGGATACCCGGAAGATGGAAAAGGCCCGGCGTGGGGCTCACTCAGGAACTCACTGCTTCATCAGCCCCCTCCAGTGTTCCACACACCCTCCCAGCCGCCGCTGCCGCCATCTCCAGTCTCCACAGGTGTGAGTGGGCTGTCTGTCAGCCAGGCTCTGAGGTTCCATGACAGGGTTCCCCCAGTTCCCTGATGGGGCCAGGGAAGGTGATCCTCAATGTTCTCCCCAGCTCTCCGTGAGTCTCAAGGACCACAGCAGTGGTTGAGTCTTAGCTCCTGGGAGTTCAGTGGATGTAAGGCTGAGGGAGGGAGGGAGGGAGGAGAGAGAGAGAGAGAGAGAGAGAGAGAGAGAGAGAGAGAGAGAGAGAGAGAGAGAATATCTGGTAGGTCTTATGGTATGGGTGTATGGCTAGAGCATTTGGATTAAAAGGAGAGATTTTCATCTCAAATCCAGTGGGCCCTCACTAGGCATACCCCTGGGCATCCCTGTCTCTGAGGGAGGGAGGGAGAAGGCAGTGGAGGCGGGAGCTGCTCCTAGTTAAAGCCTCTGACTGCACAAACTTGCTCTGTAGTCCCCTTACACCTTTGTCTGTCTGCGCTACCTCGAGTGAGTGTATCTGCCAGATCTTAATCCTGAGCTAGTCACCCCCAAATAGAGGCTCCTAGGCCTGTGCGCTGATGGGTGGCATGCCACCAGTGTGCATGTGCCTCGGGTCACTCTCATCTCTGTCCTCCAGCATAGATCCTTTCAGCTCTTACCTTCTGCCCTTGTTCTGAGTAACTTTGAAAGCCAAGGGAGTTTGGGGGTGTTGTCTGTCTGTCTGTCTGTTTTGGACAATGCTGGCATGGAACGCAGGGCTTCAAGCCCAGCCCCAAAGGGAGGTGGGTTTTTGGGTTTTTTTTTTTTGTTTTGTTTTGTGTGCATTTTGCTTTGTTTTGTTTTGTTTTAGACAGGGTCTCACTCTGTAGTCCTGGCTGGCCTGGAACTCACTATGTAGACCAGGCTGTCCTTGAACTCACAGAGATCTGCCTGCCACTGCCTCTGCCTCCTGAGTGCTGGGATTAAAGGCATGTGCCACCACCGCCTGGCTCTAAAGGGAATTTTTTCTATGGTTTGCTTGATTTTTCCTTCTCCCTGCCCAGCTACCCACAAACACTCGCGCCACACACCACAGGCAAATCCCCGTGAGCTTCCTATATGCCTAACACTAAGACTGAGGCCTGGGCCTAGGAGAAAGTCCCTGGCTGAGCCTGGTGCTAGCCATGCCTTGGGACCAATGGACAAGTGGTAAGGGGAGCCAGAGGGAGAGGACAGCATGCTTTATAATTAAACTCAAATCAAAAAATAGAAACAGCATCAAGTGTGCAGAGACAGGCGGCTGGAAGTCGGCAGTACACACTGTCTGTCGGAGAAGACTACGGCCTGGGCAGGATCTCCCTACAGGTGGGTGAATGGCCCTGATTCAGGGCCCCTGGGAACGCTGGGTAGTGGTGCCCGGAGCACCTCTGCCTATGTTGTGGGTGTTGGGCAACTGTGAGGATTGGGTTGGGGGAGTCCAAACAGGTCAGAGGGAGAGGCACAGAACTCTGCCTCTCACCACTCTATGACCCTGGGCCTCCTGCTTTATCACCCCGGGCCTCAGTTTTGTCATCAGAAAAGTGGGGATGTTGATTCTGCCTGCCTCAGGAGAGCACTATGTGGACTCAGTGGGAAGAGGTGAGTACTGGGCTCTGTCTGTCATGTGCTTCCTTGAACTGTGACTATAAGCAAGAAACAGAGATCCAGGTGAAACCTCCACAGACTCCAGCCTCTCCAGGGCACTGCTGAATCCTGAAAGGATGAGAGTGATTGCAGCGATATAAATAATGGGACGCCCCACTTACGGGGCATCTGCCATGATGCAGGGGACTCTAGGAGGCACCTATCATTTATGACGTCATGGGAGTCACCCAGCAGCTCCTAGTGAAGATCCAGGCTCAGAGACTCTCACTCAGGCTCACCTCCCTCCAGGTGTGCAAGGATGCACCCCGGGCAGAGACCACCACAGGCTCACCCTTGGCACCCGCCTGCCATGGTCCCCAGGTCCCTTTCCCAGTCTCCTCGGTGCTCTACTCTGAGAACTCCACCCCCACCTGGCCCATGCTTCCCTAGGGAAGAGGGGAGGCAAAGAGGGGGCAGCCAGGAGACCAGGAGGAATGTGTCCTGGGGTCACAGCTAAAGAGGTAGGCAGTAAACAGCTGTCCTGTCCCCCTGAAGCCTGGGCAAGGCCTGAGGCTGCGGGCCTGTGGGGTAGTATTCTAGAAGGCTGTGGTTCCTGGGAGAAAGTGGGAGACCGGCAACAGAGAGCAAGTGTGTACCCCTGTAAACAGCTGCCACAGAGGCAGCCGCTTGTCTGTACCACAGGGAAGTAGAGGCCAGGTATCCCGGGGAGCTCCCTGAGGGGTATCATGAGTGTGAAGGGAGCAGGCTTGTTCCTACAGGACGTTCAGCCATGTCTCATTCTGACATGGCTGAGGAAAAGTCCAAGTCAGTGTCAAGCAGGGCCCTCCATAGACCAAGGGGCAGCAGGAATCGAAGGAACTGTGTCCCTGGGCCACCTTTGGTCGGGGGAGGGGGGCAGTGCCTAAGGCTTACAGAATGGATGACTGAGTGAGTGGCCTGGCTTTGACCAATAGGTGGGAGGAACCCTCAGTGGACCTGAGCAGGTAACTGCGCTACATATATCCTGAGCACCAGAAGCAAGGCCCTAAGTAGGACCTGATCAGGAGGACCTAACTCCACAAAAAAACCTTTCCTACAGATCTAGGTGAGACCTGGAAGGCTAAAAACTGCCCCTAAATCCTTGACACAGTTCTGCGGCACAGTTGTGCGGCCTGGCAGCCACTGGCCACCAGAGGGCAGCCTTACCCCACACCAAATTTAGCAGGCCTGTGAGGGGCCTAGGGTTTCCCCAAATCCCTGTCTGGTTCCACTCAGAGCTGGAGCATTCTATCAGGAGGCTCCAGGCCAGAGTGGCTGTTGGACTCCTCTGGACTCAGGGGTCCCCTCCAACTCAACGTCCTGCAGTCAGTCCTGTCGTTTGCAGCCTGCAGAATAGCAGAGAAGCTACAGAGGTCAGGCAACCCAGCCATCTTTACTAAGAGGAACTCAGGTCGAGACAGGAATGAAAACTCGCTTAGGCCACAGAATGTACCCTGGCCAAGTTTTAAGGGAAGTCTGTTGTCTAGGTACCTCTTCAGCTGGTCCCCCATCTTCAGGAGGGTTAGAAGGACAAGTGTGTTCAATACCAGAGACACTGGGGGGTGGGGGGCGCTGCTTCAGTCCAAGCAGCCTAGGCCAGCTCTCATCCCCACCCCCACCCCCACCGGCTCAAATGCGTGGACCTGGAATTCTAGGCGCTTCACAGCATTTGTGTTCTGGGCGGAATCTGCCTCAGCACCGTTCCACTCACACACAGAGTCCTGCCCCTGCACCCAGTCCCCCATTCCTGACCCCAGACCATGCCCTAGGTAGGTGGCAGGCCGCTCAGCCTGCCCTGAGAGGTCGCAGTGGGGGATGAAGGATAAAGCCCGGTCCTCAGTTCCTCCTGGCTCACCATCCACCCGCTGGGTGAGCTTGGCCAAGCCAGTGGCCTCCTGGGTGCCTGTTTCTTTTTCTAGTCTTGGTACGGCCTGCCAGAGGGAAAAGATGCTCTACCCAGTCTGTACCTTCTCTAGTTACTCCTTGAAGGGACCAGGGGCAGTTGGCCAAGATAGGTCCCCCTTCCCACTACGGCACCAGGCCAGGGTTCTGGTGCCTCTGACACCCCAGCTCTGCAGGGTCCCGGAGGATGGCCTGAGCCAGCTGACTCCAGACACAGCCCACCCCATCCGGGTGAGGCCTGCACAGCTGCACTGGCCTCAGTCACGGGGGTAAGGAGGAAAAGCCTGGGGCCTATAAGCAGATGTGTGGCTCATCCCTGACAGGCTGGTGACTACCCCCTGGCAACTGGAAGGTGTGGGGAAGGAACGGAAGTCTCTCAGAAACAGACATCGACCCCAGCCATTTGTCTTTAGACGTCGCTGAACTGACACCCTGAGCTTCGGGGTCCCTCCGTGGAGAACAAGGGACATACCACAAGGGGATACATATATACATCCGGCATATGAGAGGCCCCAGCTCACCTGGTGTGAAAAGGCCGATCAGTGCCAGTTTGTAGCTGGGCTCTGACCCTGGACAGTGCTCTGACCTCAAGCACCTCAAAGTGAGGGTTTGAGGGACCAGACCTAGAAACAATGCGGGTGGGGGCTGGAGATGAGCTGCCTGGGCTTGAACGGACATCCTGGGTACTTTTTGAAAGCTTCAGCCAACTGGGGTTTCCAGTGACTTAAGGGGTAGGGTCTGTACTGGTTTGTCCTCCAGAGATCCCCAAGGTCCCCAAGGCCAAAGCTTCTAACATCCACAGCCTCAGGAAAGGTCTGCTTAGCGCCATGGCATTGACAAGGGATTCTAGTTCTCCTTGTTCCCAGGGAAAAGGTTCTAGGTTCTAGCCTCATTCAGCATAGCTGAGGCTGGCCCCACAGCACCCCAGGGGTTCCTGGTACTGCATCGCAGGCCTCCCTGTCCACTGGACCCGTCCTCGGGGAGCCTGCTTCAGCTGCTGTGGTATTCACTCTGTTCCAGGATGGACTCGATGCAGAAGCAGGACCTCCGGAGGCCAAAGATACATGGGGCGGTCCAGGTGCCCCCCTACCAGCCACCCACGCTAGCCTCACTGCAGCGATTGCTGTGGGTCCGCCGGACCGCCACAATGACCCACATCAATGAGGTCTGGCCCAACCTCTTCTTGGGAGATGCGTAAGTAAGACCCACGGAGGAGCTGGGGGTGGCACAAGGATGTCAGTGGCAGAATGAGCTTCCTCCAGCTATCACCCCCTGCCTCTCACCTAGCCTGTACTTGCCTATCTTTTTATGTTTATTATGGAAACAGGACACAGGATACAAAACACACACCAACCGTTTCATCGTCCAGAAATAGAGAATTACCTCTGCGAGTTCCCCTTCTCGGTGGATAACCACGCTTTAAGCGACAATTTTTTATTTTTATTTTTATTTTTTTTTTAAGACGAGGTGTCAAGTACCCCAGGTTGGCTTGAACTCCTATGTACCTGAGGATACCTTGAGTTTTTGACCCTCCAGCCTCCATCTCTAAAGCACTTGGATTACAAGTGTACATCATTACACCTGTTTCAGGCTGGAGATCAAACCCTAGGCAAGCACTGTACAAACTGAGCTATATGCCTAGCTTGCCTAAAATAAGTATCATCATCATCATCACTGACCCGGAATCTCACTGTGTAGCCCTGGCTCTTCTGGAACTCACTAGGTAGACTAGGCTGGCCTCAAACTCACAAAGATCCTCCTGCCTCTTCCTTTTGAGTGCTAGGATTAAGACACATGCTACCAGGCCTGTCTCATTAGTTTGTTTGTTTGTTTGTTTGTTGTTTGTTTTGGTTTTTCATGACAGGGTTTCTCTGTGAAACAGTCCTGGCTGTCCTGGAACTTACTCTATAGACCAGGCTGGCCTCGAAATCACAGAGATCTGCCTGCCTCTGTCTCCCAAGTGCTGGGATTCAAGGTGTGTGTCACCACTGCCTGGCTGTCATTATTATTTTTTTTTTTCCCGAGACAGGGTTTCTCTGTGTAGCTTTGTGCCTTTCTTGGAACTCACTTGGTAGCCCAGGCTGGCCTCAAACTCACAAAGATCCACCTGCCTCTGCCTCCCAAATGCTGGGATTAAAGGCGTGTGCCACCACCGCCTGGCTCTGTCATTATTTTTTAATTGATGTATATTTATTGATATACTGATGGGTTTGGCAGAGATTTTTCAAGTTCTCATGTATTTGATCTTACTCACCTCCCTATGCTCCCCCCACCATTTTTGTTTTTGAGACAGGATCTCACTACAGCCCTGGCTAACCTGGAATTGTCTAGGTAGACCAGGCTGGCCTGGAACTCACAGAGATCCGCCGGCCTCTGCCTCCCAAGTGCTGGGATTCAAGGCATGTGCCACCACACCTGGCTTACATCTGACTTTTATGTGGGTGCTAGGGATTTGAACTCAGGTCCTCACACTTGTAGGGCAAACAGCCCATATTGTGTGTATTTTATGGACAGCATCATTTGGTTAAAATTGTGTGACATAATGTTATTCTGTATAGCTGCAGTTATTATTATATAATATTCCACTGTGTGACTAGGCCATAAATTCTTCATTTGTTCTGATCCACTTTTAACTGCTGCAGTGATCCTAGGAGCATTTAGTACAGGTGTCCTGGAAAAAACATGAGTTTCCCAAGGTTTCTATGAGTGAAAAGGAGAGAGTGAGAGAAACTGTTATTTTCCCCTAAGAGTTTTCTTAAATTTTAGAAAATATAGACTTATATAGAAAGAATTTAGAATTTCCCTTTGTATTTAGAATTAATTGGGCTGGAGAGATGGCTCAACAGTTGAGAGCACTGGCTGTTCTTCCAGAGGTCCTGGGTTCAAGTCCCAGCACCCACATGGTGGCTCACAACTGTTGTCCCATGGGATCCGATGCCCTCTTCTGATGTGCAGACGTACATGCAGACAAAACACTCATATACATACACAAATCAATCTTTAGAATTAAAGCATGGATTAATATTTAATTAACAATATTCCTCTTTCCCCGGAGATAAAGATCCTTGCAGACTTTTAAAAACACATATGTGCTTTTTCACAGTTCTATTTTGGGTAAAAATGCCATCATTTTGTAATACCGTTTTGAGATAGGCTTTACATAGAAAGCTTTTTAAATGAATCCTACTACATATTTAAAAATTCCTATAACATTCTGTTTTATATCCTGTATTTTCACAGGTTCTTGAAAAAACATAAATATCTTCCCTTGTTTACCTGCATTTTCCACATTGTAGTGACTCATGGTATTTCATAATTTAGACACACAGGAATTTGCTTCACCGGAGGGGTGTGTTCCCCATCCCCCAGTGGATATCTAAGTCTAAAGACAGTGTCAAATGCTCATAATATATGCTGTCTTTTTTCCTACTAATCCATACCTTTGTAAAGTTTAATTTGTAAATTAGATTAAGAAAGTAACACTAATAATAACAAAACAGTAATTATTATATTAAGTAAGGGCTAATTAAACACAGGCCTGTGATACCATGACACTCAATCTGAGACTCAAACTGAGACAGCTACTAGACAATTAATGGTTAAAATAGCATATGCAGTGTGGATACCCTGGCCCAAAGGGTAACGCTAGTCCTTGTTCTAGCTTCTTACTTCCTGTTATTATAATGAAACATTGACCAAAACCAGCTTGGGGAGGAAAGAGCTTATTTGGGTCACAGTTACATTTGACCATCAGTAGACGCCAACGCAGGAGCTGGAAGCAGAAACCATGGAGGAACACTACCTACTGACCTGCTTCCTCTGGCTTGCTTAACTAACTACCTTTCTTATATAGCCCAGTTCCACCTAATAGGGATGGCACCACCCACAGTGGGCTGCGTCCTCCTACATCAATTAGCAACTAAAAACGCCCCAGAGACATGTCCACAGGCCAGTCATGGTGGCAGTTCCTCACTTGTATGAGGTTTCCTCTACACAGATCTGTAGAGTTGACAACTACTGCTAACTGTGACAGCCTTGGGCACAACAAAGCAGGACAGTGCAAAACTTAGCATCTATTAATTATTCACTGATAGAATTTTTAAAAGTGTTTTAAGCCATAGTTGACCGTGGGCAAATGAAACTGTGAAAAGTAAAACCACAGATAAAAGAGGATTACTGTACCATACTTCATAACCTATTAAGTCAAATAAGTTCTCAGCCAGGCAGTGGTGGCGCACACCTTTAATCCCAGTACTAGGGAGGGAGGCAGAGGCAAGAGGATCTCTGTTGGTTCGAGGCCAGCCTGGTCTACAAAAAGAGTTCCAGGCCAGTCAGAGCTACAAACACAGAAATCCTGTCTCAAAAAAACCAAAAAAAAAAAAAAAAAAAAGAAGAAGAAGAAGAAGAAAAGAAAAAGTCCTCTTTCCTAATGTTTCAGTTTTAAATATCACTAAATTTAGCTTATATAATGTCTGTTGGCACATTTTGAATTTTTCCTTTTGATCTGTTCCTAGAAGAAAGTGTTTGCACAAAGTATACACACATCTCTAAAGCTTTCAACACACACAGCTAAATGTCCGTCCAGGAAATTTCCTGAGATGAAAAGGTCCAGAGCAATGGTTCTCACCCTTGGGGCCACGACCCCTTTAGGGGTTGAACGACCCTGTCACAGGGGTCATATATAAGATAATCTGCATATCAGATATTTACATTACGATTCATAACAGTAGCAAAATCACAGTTCCAAAGTAGCAATGGAATGATGTTATGGTTGGGGGTCAGCAGGACATGAACTGTATAAAGGGTCGCAGGGTTAGGAAGGTTGAGAACCACTGCTCTGGAGGCTTGCCCTCATCAGGGAAGTTCACCGTTCAGTCTCTACCCTAGGAGGAGAACAGTGGGATGGCGGTTAAGCTCTGACCCTGTGAGATCCACCTCCACGCCCTAACTTCCCACATGCGTTTTCCTCAGATACGCGGCCCGAGACAAGAGCCGGCTGATCCAACTGGGCATCACCCACGTTGTGAATGTCGCTGCAGGCAAGTTTCAGGTGGACACAGGTGCCAAGTTTTACCGTGGAACACCTCTGGAGTACTATGGCATTGAGGCCGACGACAATCCCTTCTTTGACCTCAGTGTCTACTTTTTGCCTGTTGCTCGATACATCAGAGAAGCCCTCAATTCTCCCCGAAGTGAGCTGCTGGGGAAGGGACCGGGCAGGCTGGGGTCAGGGTGGGAGGAGGCGCTGTGCATTTCTCCAGTAGCCCCGATGGATAGGGAGTCCATGGCACCAACCCCACCAGGGACCCTCCCACTCTAGGGAGCAGATGGCTAGTATCATTTGATGAGTAGATCGCAGAAACCAACGATTTCAGATGTAACTGAGATTCAGTGTGGGGGCTGGAGAGATGGTTCAGTTGGTAAAGTGTTTGCTGTGCAAGATGAAGATCTGTGTTCGGTCCCCGGAATCTACATGGAAAAAGCAGGAGTGGTAACGTGTGCTTGCTATTGGCAGCGTTAGGGAGATACACACACACACACACACACACACACACACACACACACTCCATTATCGTCACTAGTATAACCATACCCTTTAGAAAGAAGCCAGCCCACTAGGCAGAAACCACAAGACCTAGCAAAGACTCAGAGAGGAATCACAGGCAGCTGAAAGGCTCCATGAGCAGGAGAGAGAACAGGGCCGAGAGAGAAGAGGGTATTTATTCCCTGTGGTGTAAATCCAAGGGACTCCAGAAGTGTGGGGACCCTCTCCTAGAGCTGCAGTGGCTATCCGAGGAAGCCCCTCTGGACCTGAAGGGGCCCAGCTGTCCATCTTAGCCCTACACTAAATTGCTACTGACCTTGAGCCTCTGTGGCCCCACCTGACAATGAGGGCAGTGTCGGTTTTCCAGGGTGTTGAGACAGGTGGACAGAAGGGATGGCCAGAGCTGTCCCTTCTTCCCGAAGGTGAGGTGGGTGCAGGCGGCCAATGCCAGGTTTGGTCTTCCTACAGGCCGCGTGCTGGTCCACTGCGCCATGGGGGTAAGCCGTTCTGCCACAGTCGTCCTGGCCTTCCTCATGATCTGCGAGAACATGACCCTGGTAGACGCCATCCAGACGGTGCAGACCCACAGAGATATCTGCCCCAACTCAGGCTTTCTCCGGCAGCTCCAGGTTCTGGACAACAGGCTGAGGCGGGAATCAGGGCAACTCTGACTTAGGGAGCGCCCGAAGCCCTGACCCCTCCATCCAGCGTAGCCCCGCCTGACCTGCCTGGCCTTGGGGATGGCAGTCTCAGCTGTTTCCAGAGACCCTGAGATGTCACCAGCAAGTCAGGGCTCCGCGGAGGCAGAGGCAGGGCAGGCTGGGTGTCATCCTTCAGCAGGTGGAGTCCCTTGATCCAATATAAAAATTCTTTATGCACAAGAAAATTCAGTCTGTCTCTATAATAAAAGTTCATCATAATGAAGATGCTTGTGAGACGATGGTTTTATTGTCACGACGGACGGCCACAAGCCTGGGGATGGCTTGCCAGCTCTGACTCAGCAGCCTGGAGGGGAAAGGAGCCTGAGGATCTGACAAGGCCCAAAGAGGAGAGAGCGCAGGTAGGGATCAGTGGGTGATAACGTTCTGGGTTCAAGAGGTCTGGTGCAGAGCTGAGGACCGGCAACTTCTTCCTCGTCCCATCCCTTTTATACCCTTGCCCAAAGCTAAAGTTGTTCCAAGTGTCACATCCTCTCCGGGCCACAGTCAAAATTCACTTCTGGGGGCCAGCCAGATGGCTCACCAAGTAAAAGATTTTGTGGCACCAGCTCCAACGACCTGAGTTCATGTTTCCACCTTATAAGGGTGGAGAGCGAGAATGGACTCCACAAAGGTCTCCTCTGACCTTAGACTACAATCATGCTCTGTCACATATGCACACCCTAACACACCATGCCTACACACAGTAATAGTAAATAAAATAAAGTTTATTTTCAAATAAAGCGAATGAAGGTCTAGTGAGAAGGAGACAGGACAGAAAGTTCCCCCCGGGTTCCTCCCTGGTGAACTGCAGAGCCCAGGCCTGGTTTTGAGGGTGAATTGATTGGTTTCCCCCTCCTCTCTGGATGCTCCCATTTATCCTCCGTCCTCTGACTGACGCCAGAATGTGAAGGCTTCTCCAGGTTCTGTCCTCTTGCCTCCCTGATGTTCCTACTCTTCTGGGTGAGCCTCAGCCCCCACAGCCTCAGGGAACGTCTCCAGGCTAAAGACCCAGACAGAGATGGCCTAGTTCTCCCTCCTGTGCTCACAGCCTTTGCATCCCACCAGCCACCTCCATTTGTATATTATACTTGAACTTCAGACTCAGCGGAACTTTTCCTCCATCATCCCGTACTGCCTCCCCACCCTCTCTTCTTGCTGGTTCCCTATATTCTTAGCAGAGTTTCCCAACCATTGTTGCCATGCCCGTGACAGGTAGTTTTATTAATTTATTAATAAATTAATTTATTAATCACCACTGTGCAAAATACCCAAGAGAAGTCACTTAAAGGAAGACATCGTTATTATGGTGCACGGTTTCTGAGGGAAGTCATGGTAGCTTCATCTGGGGCAGCAGTAGTGGGAGGCTGCTCACACTGTATGACAAGGAGTCAGAGAACTCAGTGTGGTGGTTTGAATGAGAATGGCCCCCATAGGGTCATATGTTTGAAGGCTTGGTCCCCAGTTAGTGGAACTGTTTGGGAAGGATTAGAAGGTGTGGCCTTGTTGGAGGAGGTGTGTCACTGTGGGTGGGCTTTGAGGTTTCCAAAGCCCAAATCAGGCCCAGGCTTAGTCTCTTTCTCTCTGCCTCCTGCCTGAAGATCGGGTTGTAAAGCTCTCAGCTACTGTTCTAGCACATGCCTGTCTGCTTCCTGCCCTGATGACCATGGACGAACCCTCTAAAACCATAAGCAAGCAAGCCTCAAGTTAAATGCTTCCTTTTATAAGAACTGCCTTCGTCATGGTGTCTTTTCACAGCAACAGAGCAGTGACTACATCAGGCTAGATGCAGAGATCTCAGGCTGGAATCAGAAGAAGGTAGAGCAGATGCCTGTCTCCCATAACCCATCTCCATGTCCCAAAGGTTCAAAAACCTCCCCAGACAGCACCACCAGCTGGGGACCAAACATTCAAACAGATGAGCCTGGATGGGATATTTCAGACTCAGACCATAAGAGCTGTCATCCTTCAGGTGTGGCTCTGTGGGTCCATGGGGCATCAGCTGTGGGTTCATATCACCTTACCTGGCCTGTAACAAGGGCCATGAAAGAGACTGGATCCTGGCATGTCTTGGGACTGGATGGCCTCTCTGCCCCAGCTGCACGGGCATGCAATGTCTCCCATCCAGCTCACCTGACACCCTCCTGCCACATATATAACTCATAAGGCCCCTTGAATTCTTCAGAGTCCCCACCAAGACTGCAGAGCCAGCTCCGACTTCTTCTGGGGGGCTTAAGGAATATTTGCCATCTCTTCTCTATTCCTGGAGGGTGAGTGCTTCTCCTCTGTGCAAATAAGAAAAGGTATCCTGTCCAAGCAAACCACATTTATGGACAGAAGCACTCCTGAGTAATCAGCTGCATGAAAGAGAATGTATCCCTTCCTCCTAAGTGGACAGTGTCCTAAGTCAGGGTACCTGGCAAGATGAAGCTGACCTGGACTGGACCTTAGCTTCCCTTGATTTCATTTGCAGTTCAGAATCTACATAAAAGTGTTCTGGCTTGGTAGGTATGCATTCACACTCCCATTTTATAGACGAGCAAACTGAGGCTCTGAGGAAGACATCAGAATGGCATGTGGGTTCAGGCTTTAGGGCAAGCGCTGCCAGCTGACTTCTGTCACATCTCTGGGGCACTAGGTCCCAGTTCCAGATGGCTGTTAGCTGTCCCAGTGTACAGGAGGCTTTATATCCTAGCTGGAAAATGGCAGAAAGCTCATGCTGTTGTGCCCAGCTTCATCCCAGATTCTAGGCTAGACCACACATGGCTGTTCCAACTCTGGCTGTTTCCAGTTCAACCCAGAGTTGGTGGGGCCTGGAATTATCCAGATCAAACCCAGTCCTAGGCAGCAGCCCAACCTACTTACCCCCAATGCCCAGAGGTTCGTCTCCTGATGGACAACTCAGCCCTTGTTGCTATTTCTTGCTCATACACTGTCAGCAACACCCAAAATAGTGGCTCCAGAGGCCAGTCCCAGTCGTCCTGGCCTGTGCATGTGGGCAGCCTGCCCCTGCTGCCTAGGCTGGGCTGTCTAGAGGCTGGGACAGAACCTTCTCTTTGGCCTGGAGCTCAGGTTTCAGCAGGGCACATTCTTGGGATTCTGTAGACAGAGTTCAGAATCTGGGGCTGCAGTGGGAAAAGGGAGGGAAGCCATAAGGACCCAGGTGGCCGAGAAGGCAACCATTTCCCAGTCCCCCAAGGAAACAGGCTGGCCTGGGGAAGGAAAAAGAAGCTGATTGAAGTTTGTCGAGTGAGTATAACCATGTGACTACACCTCAGCCAATGAGACAGAGTGGAAGTATTGCATAGAACTCCAGAGAAGTCTCTGTCAAAGGAAATGGTGTGTTAGCCAGGCATGACTGTGCACGCCTTTAATCCTAGCACTTGGAAGGCAGAGGCAGGCAGATCTCTGTGAGTTTAAGACCAGTCTGGTCTACAGAGTGAGTTCCAGGCCAGCCAGGCACACATAGTGAGATCCTATCTTTAAAAAAAAAAAAAAAAAGAATGGTATGGGGTGGGGAGACGGCTCAGTGGGTAAAGTACTTGTTGGGAAGGCCTGAGAAGTAGAGTTGATGTCCCCAGCACCCACATAAAAGCCAGGGATGGGGGCCACATCTGCAGCCACAGCACAGGAGCATCAGAGACAGGCAGGTCCTGGGGACTCTTTTGGCCACTCCGCCCACCTAAAACAGTGAGCTCCAGGTTCAGTGAGAAACCTTGAGGGAGAGCAATGGAGAAAGGCACACACACACACACATACACACACACACACCACGAAAATGTTTGGTTCCCACCTCCCTGGTGCTATATGGAGTGTGAGTGGGATTATGGAGCTCTGTTTTGGTCCTGGACAGTCTCTGCCTCCACATTTCCTTTACATGAAAAGAGAAAGAAATATGTATCTTTTTTAAAAAAATTCTTCTCTCATATATTATATCCCGACTGGTTTCCCCTCCCTCCACTCTTCTCGGTACCCCCCCCACCTCCCCTCTCCCCCAGATCCACTCCTCTGTTTCCCTTACATCTATCTTTTTTGAAGTATGTGTTTTGCCTGTGTGTATGGCTGGCCAACACATTTGTGCAGTACCTGCAGATGCCAGGAGGGGGCTTTGGATCCTCCGGAACTGGAGTTACAGACTTGTTAGAGGTCACATGGTAGCTGGGAGCCAACCTTGGGTCCTCTGCAAGACCAGCAACCACTCTTAACCACTGAGCCATCTCTTCATCGCCAAAACTCCCTCTCTTGTTGATACCACCATTTCTGAAGTCTTTGTTACTTCTCATCATCTTTGGTCTTAATTACTGTATGTTCTGATCCACAAGTTGCCCAGAGAGTTTTGAGGCACTCTAATATAAGACATGTCATCGGTAGGGGCTCTTTGCTGAATGGGGAATGCCAGCCTGAGAAGACTTTCTGGGTGGGGGGTGGGGGTGGGAATAAACTAGAGTCAAAGGTCATCGGACATAGAGGGGTACGTGGAGAGACACGGGGAGCAGGAGCCATGAGGCAGCAGGAGTCAGGAACGGAGAAGCGAGAAGAAACCGCTGGGGACCAGAGCACCCACCATCAGAGGCAAAGCACAGAAGAGTTAAGTCCCCAATCAGCCAGAGCCCGGGGAAATGCTGCAGTCTACACCCAAGGACATCAGAGTTGTCACTTAGGTCACGGAAGCTTCCCAGGAGACAGTCCCATCTCCCATAACAATCTTGGCTTTCTTTTTTGGATTATTGGTGGTGGCTTATTTTGAAACAGGATCTCACGTACCCCAGGCTGGCCCTGACCTCATTCATGCAGTTCAGGATGACCTTGAACTTCTGATCTTCCTGCCTCTACCTCCCGACTGCTGGGATTACAGATACGCAAGACCACGCCAGACTGACAGGATTCTGGAGATCATGTCCAGGGCGTGCGGAATGGCAGGCAAGACCTCTATCAACTGAGCCACATCCTCAACTATAACATTGGAGTTCCCAAAGGGATTCTCCAAATGCATCTCTGAGGTCATCTGAAGACACCTCATCTGTTTACAGACTTCAGTCAGATTGCAGACAGTGTCTGACAAGGCTGACTGAGTGCCCTGGAGAGACGACTGGTCAGCACATTCAAATTGGAGCCAAGCTTTCCTCCTTTCCCCCTTTTTATGAGATGAGATCTTATGATGTAGCCCAGGCTGCCCTTGAACTCGAGACCTTCACTCAGCAGCCGCGAGTGGCAGAATTACAGGCATGAACCTCTACGCCCCGCTCTCTCTTGTTTTTGGTTTTGCCTTGCTTCAGTTGTCTTTTGTTATTTATGTTGCGTACATGTGCATGCCATAGTGCATGTGTGGAGGTCACAGGGTAACTTGTGAGAGTGCCTTCCATCATGGGAGTCCCAGGGACTGAACTCAGACTGAGGAGGCCTAGTGGAACTATCTTCCCCTGTTGAACCCTCTCTCTGGTCTGGATTTGGGCTTTGAGGCAAGCTTTGAGGCAGCATCTCAAAGAGATGAAGCTGGCCTTGAACTTGCTATGTAGCTGAGGATAGCCTTGAACTCTTTTGTTGTTTTCGTTTGTTTTTTCGAGACAGGGTTTCTCTGTGTAGCCCTGGCTGTCCTGGAACTCGCTCTGTAGACCAGGCTGGCCTGGAACTCAGAGATCTGCCTGCCTCTGCCTCCCAAACTGGGATTAAAGGCGTGAGCCATCATTGCCTGGCTAACCTTGACTTCTTGATCCTCCTGCCTCCACCTCCCAAGTGCTTTAATTGCAGGTGTGCCCCTGAACCCTGTGTTATTCTTGGTCCAGTTCTGTTCCTTTAGAGAAGCACCAATGTTTCTGGACAAAGATGTTTATTATATTCCTGACTACCCTGGTGACTGCCTGACCACCCACGTGACCACCTGACCACCCACACAACATCTGACCACCCACGTGATCACCCATGTGACATGATCACCTGACCATCCACCTGATCACCATCTCTACACCTGAGCTAAGCTGCTGCCTGGGGGGATGTAATAGTCATGTTTACATTGCTGTGATAAAATACCCTGACAAAGCAGATTAAGGAAAGAAGGCTGGGTCTTGTCTTACAGAGCCAGAGGGGAGACAGTCCATCATGGTGGGAAGGCCTAGACATAGGATCGTGAGGCCTGCCTGGGAGTCAAGAGACAGACTGATAACATTTTCATCCACACACAGGAGGCAGAGAGGGAGAACAGGGAGTAGGGGTAGGCCTACAAACCCCAATGGTGTACTTCCTCTAGAAGGCTCCGCCTCCAAAGGTTCCATAGCCTTCCCAGGCAGTACTGTCAAGTGTTCAAATACATCAGCCTATGGTGTATAGAGATTTGCATAAGAAATGTCCCCCAAAGGGTCTGGAATTTGAATACTCGGTCTCCAGTTGATGCTGTTGGGAAGTCTTAGGTGGTGCAGGAAGAGGGCTTTGAACGTGAAAATACTTCACCACTTCCAGTCCACTCTGAATTGAGGATGTGATCAACAGCCTTCCTGTTGGCCTGCTGGCATGCTTCCCCCGCCATGATGGACTCTCAGCCCTTTGGAACCGTAAGCCCAAACTCTTTTTTCTATAAGTTGCCTTGGTCACAGTGTTTACTCACAGTAACAGAAGAGTGACTAATATGGGGAGACATTTCTCACTCAAACCACAACAGGCTGAAATGGAGCCGCAGGCACCTGAACACACAAACACTGAGGTTTCTATTCCAACGTCAACCTCCAACAGAGTGCTGCAGAAACCAGCAGATAGGAACTCCTATGAACCTTGAGTTCCTCAAGCGTTTGAATAGCATTAACTGCACTGTAGGTCGACTGTGGGTATGGTAATAAACAAGCAGGTCCAAGGGTCAGGTGTGGCTGTATACACCTTTAGTCCCAGAACTCAGGAGTCTGAGGCAGGGGGATTTCTGCGAGGTCCAGGCCAGCCAGGAATACATAGTGAGATCCAGTCTCAAGACACAGAACAGGGGGCTGGAGAGATGGCTCAGAGGTTAAGAGTACTGGCTGCTTCCAGAAGTTCTGAGTTCAATTCCCAGCAACCACAGGGTGGCTCACAACCATCTATAGTGGGATCTGATGCCCTCCTCTGGCATAAAGGCATACATGTAGATAGAGCACTGTATACATTAAATAAATCTTTAAAACAAAAAAGCAAAGCAAAACATAAAAACAAAAACCAAACAAATAAAACCAAACCAAACAAATAGAAAAGTAGCCCAGAGAATAACACACAGTAGGTGTTGAATAAAAGCTTGGGTTTCTTCCCTTCTTTCTGAGACAGTCAGGGCTTGGAAGAAACATCTGTGTAGCCAGAAGTTTTCTCCGGTCCTGCAGAATCTCTCCCACCCGCATCCTGTGGCCACTTGGTCCCAAATAAACACACCCAGGCTTATATTATTTTTAAACTATGGCCATGGCAGGCTTCATGCAAGCTATCTCTTATATCTTAAATTAACCCATTTCTATAAATCTATACTTTGCCACGTGGCTTGTGGCTTATTGGCATTTTTACATCTTGCTTCTCATGGCAGGGCTGGCAATGTCTCCTTGCCTCTCCCTTCTCTTCCTGTCATCTGTTTGGATTTCCCGCTTGCCTCTAAGCTGCCTTGCCATAGGCCAAACGGCTTTATTTATCAACCAATCAGAGCAACACATATTCACAGCATACAGAAAGATATCCGCAGCACATCTGTATGTCTATATTCCCTGAGTAGGGATGGGAGGGCTGGCAACACAGAACTCAGCCTTTTCCTGTCACTTCTCAGAACACTGGGGCCCAACAGGATGATCGGGGTTAGCCTGTTTCCAAAAAGCTACTGCCTAGATTTCTTAAGAAATTAAAAAAGGGGCTGGAGAGATGGCTCAGAGGTTAAGAGCACTGACTGCTCTTCCAGAGGTCCTGAGTTCAATTCCCAGCAACCACATGGTGGCTCCCAACCATCTGTAGTGAGATCAGATGCCTTCTTCTGGTGTGTGGGCATACATGCAGATAGAGCGCTCATGTATATATAAAATAAATAAATAAATCTTTAAAAAAAAACTGTTTTTTTGCTGGGCAGTGGTGGCGCACACTTTTAATCCCAGCACTCAGGAGGCAAAACCAGGTAGATCTCTGTGAGTTTGAGGCCAGCCTGGGCTACAGAGTGAGTTCCAGGACAGGCTCCAAAGCTACACAGAAGAACCCTGTCTCTAAAAACAACAACAACAACAACAACAAATTAGTTTTTTTGTTTGTTTGTTTGTTTGTTTTTGTTTTTCGAGACAGAGTTTCTCTGTGTGGCTTTGGCTGTCCTGGAACTCACTCTATAGATCTGGCTGGTCTTGAATTCAGAGATCTGCCTGCATCTGCCACCAAAGTGCTGGGATTAAAGGCATGGGCTACCATGCTGGGCTTAAAATTTTTAATAAAAAAATAAAGATTTTATTATTATTTTAAAATTATGTGTATGGACGTTTTGCCTGCATGTCTGTCTGAACACCACATGCATGCCTGGTGCTGACAGAGGTCAGAAGACTGAGTCAGACTTCCTGGGAATGGAGTTACAAACTGTTGTGAGCCATCATGTGGATACTGGGAATGGAATCCCCGTTCTCTGGGAGAGTAGCCAGTGTTCTCAACTGCTGAGCTAGCCCTCCAGCCCCAATTATTTTTATTTTAACTTATGTGTATTTGTGTGTCTGTCTGTGGGTCTATGAACATGTTTATGGTGCCCAAAGAGACGTAAAGTGACCATCAATGCCCTGGAGCTGGAATTTGTGAGCCACGGGTGCTGGGAACAGAACTCCCGCCCTTTGAAAGCACAGTATGTACTCTTAACCACCAAGCCATCTCTCCAGCACTATGGATTTATTTTCATATTCTTTTAATTATTTTTATATGATTTATAACTGTTGCCAAGAAGTTTTATATGCAAAGCTGACTGTACTCTCTTGGAGTGTTCTTAAATAGGGCAATAGACTGACATTAGCATTCTGTAATGTCAAATGCAGTCCTGCTCTGCAAATTCCCAGTCCTCCAAAGACGAGAGAATATTTGGTTTAATGGAAAGGGTTTTATAGTCGCTGCAGACCTGGCTGAACCCAATTCTGGTCTTTAACTTAGAGAAGAGTTAATATCCTTTACAAAAACCTCCATGTTTTCCTTAACTTTGGTATGGTCTGGCAGTATTAGGAGTATTCACACACAGACACAGACACAGACAGACAGACACACACACACACACACACACACACTCCTGAAGACTTATAAGTAAAACCTGGAATGTCTAAGAGGTTCCCCCGACTACACACACCCTTTTCAATTACAACTCAAAAAAAAAAAATCCCCAAAAAGCCCTGGGTAAGCAATTTCTTGCTGGCAGGGGGAGGCTCCCCACACTCTGAGAGAGCCCTCTTGGGGTGATTAGATTAGGGTAGAAGGACAGTCAGTTCCTTCTGCATCCTCCTCCTTCCCTGTCACCCTGTCCCTTCACACACAATGGGCTCCTTGAGGACCGGGATCCGTGCCCACCAGAGAGCAAGTGTAGGAAGCCTTCTGAAGCCCAAGTCTCTCCAGCCAAGAACCGGGAGCCTCTGTATTCAGCACAGTATTTAAAAATTAAGTGTTTTTTTTTTTTCATTCACTTTCCCCACAAGCACATTTCTTGAGAGCACTACTGGAAACAACATATAAAACATTAAGTTACATTTCAATTTCAGAAACAAATATTTTAAAACATAAATTTGCCCCAAATATTGCATGGAGCATAGTTATGTGAAAACTGTATTTCTCATCCAGGTGTTGTGGCATATGCCTGTAATCTCAACACAGGAATATTAGGAATTAAAGGCCAGCCTCAGTTATATGAGTTTTGGGCCAGCCTGAGCTACATGAGACTCTCCCCACAACCCTCGCCCAACTCCATCTGCCCCAACCACAGGAACCCCTGTATTTATCAAGTGGTCACTCCTACCTGGAAGCTGTTTTGTCATTATTGTCCCAGAGAGAAGGGAGAAATCAGTAGAGGACAACCGAGAGACTGCATTGGCAAGAGAGGAGACGGAAATGGATGTGCTGCTCAGCTTCGCACCACCGGAACCAACGCCTGAGACAGCCCACTTCCAAAAAGCAAAGGCTTGTGGTGGCTCACAGAGTCGGACATTTCCGCTGTCAGCTGGCATGTTGCTTGGAGCCTGGGTCTCCGTAGCACATCCTGCTGGCAGCCCGGAGCCAAGGAGCTGTTCACCTCACGGCAGCCTGGGAGAGAGAGGAAGGGACGAGAGTGCCATTTTTGTTTCCAAAGAAAGCCTCCCAATGACCTAACTTCTTCCCCTTTCTTAAAGATTCTACTGCCTACCAACAGTAGTACCACAGGCTACACCAGCCAACAGTACCACAGGCTGTGCCTGCCGACAGTACCACAGACTATACCAGCCAACAGTAGTACCACAGGCTACACCAGCCAACATTACCCCAGGCTACACCAGCCAACAGTACCACAGGCTGTGCCTACCAACAGTACCACAGACTATACCAGCCAACAGTAGTACCACAGGCTACACCAGCCAACAGTAGTACCACAGGCTACACCAGCCAACAGTAGTACCACAGGCT